TTCGTTGAGTAAGACGTGTCTCCTTGTCTCACAGGTTTGAATCTCAGTATGGGACGTGGAGATCTGTTCTTTTGATGAGACCGTATAAACCAAGGCCCCTTTTCGCAATTGATGCTGGGACGAAAAAGATCCCTCACTGCACAATGGCTGTAAATACCGAGTTTAAGAACAGTTTGCAGCTCTCTAGCGGCAAGTGATGGTGCCTCGAAAAAAGTGAAAAATTCTGTAGATGGATGTTAAACTTCATACAATCAATCAATAATTGTGTTTTGTACTCTGACTCTTAAGCTTAAGTACTGCTTATTTCTCACGTTTCACTGTCGCATTCTTTTGCTCTCTATATATCAAATATTGGAATATTATAGAAAAGGTATCAATAATTGTATTTATGTGCAACATAAAGTAATTTATACCATCTCTGTTAGTCTATTGTTATGAGAGAATTTTTCCGGAATTTTCAATGCCGCGATGAATTCTTGATCCAGACCACGCTTTCTGATGGAAATAATTTTTGATTTCTTCACTCGTGTGAGTATCTGAATTGATTCACATCTTCTTTCATCGCCCATGGCACACTCTCATAAGTTGTTACATGCCTTCTTCATTTTCAGGGCAGAAAAGGTTACATGTATATATAGAATTAGTCTAAAGCAACGGTATATTTTTTACCAACACAACAAGAAACACACAAAACACTTGATGCATGACAAGTTTTCAGAATTCTTTCAATATTTAAAAAAGTACACAAAAATAGGGAGTTTAGGGACCTATACTCGCTAGAGTTTTTTTTTGTATTCCTATTATCTGTTTAAAAATAACTAGTTAGAATAATCTTACTGTGTCTCGGTACAATCGTTAAACCGGGTCCGTAGGACAATATCATTTTAACGATATTACATTCTAGCTAAAAAATAACAAGGTTAGTAAAACAAATCTTAAAATTTTATATACTTACAATAGTACATGAGATATTTCACACGCGGAATCAAGACGAAGACAATAATGTTTCAAATCAAAATTCTTCTACAGAAAACACACAATGACACATGTACTGATTCAAATCTTGGTTGTTGTAATTATGGTATAACAAACCCGATCTATCATAATGTAATTTTGAACCCAACATAAATGTAGCGTGGGAAAATTTTCTAACAAGTCGGAGTGTTCAACTGGTGGTCAAATCTGGTTCTACATTAAATTTCAAAGTATTAGCATTCAACTAATGGTCAACTGGCCGTTTTATGCAAATCAGTTGATCGCTTTTTCCTAATATTTATTCATTTTTTTTTAAATATTATTTAGTTGACGGTCAACTACACAATTTCGTATGGGGGGTTACAGTTTTTTTTTTTATTTTACAATTTAATGTTTCTAATGTAAAGCTTAATGAAAGAGCAAGTACGAGATTTTAATCATGTTGTAAATTTTTTGTGACACATTCTTATTTTTTTTTTCTGTCTGATCCTCATATTTATTCATTTTTTTTAAATATTAATTTTCATTTCATAACCGCGTGTAAAATTGTTTAACACTTTTATTTTCTGTGAGCAGCTGTTATGATTATGTGCTTAAGGGTTTCCAAAATGACAAATTATTAATTATGAATATATTTTTACATAATTGTTCTATTACTTTTCGGTCTTGTTTGACATCTGTAGTTGAAAGTTGATTGTTTTTATTTGATGTTTAGGAAAGGCATTTTTGCACATGTTAGCAATTTCTAATTCTTGACATCTCTTTGCTGTCTCACAATATCAAATGAATGTCATTTACTCATACTTGTTATCAACTGTATGGTTAGATCTTAGGATTGTGTACTTTGAAATTTTATGCTAAGCTCTACCTAATTTCAGTGTTGTAAATTAATGACATACGGATTCCACCTGTTCATGCAATTTTCTATCCTTAATTTAATTGGCTGGTCAGTACGAAAGTGGGCAGAGTTGTCAAAGATTAGATGTGAGTTGGTTTCTAAGTGGGTCAATGAAGAAATATTCTTTGTTAAAGAAGTCGATTTACTTTATGCATAAAATGGCCCTATAGCTATACCAATTGATTGATTAACACTTAATTGTTCATTTGAAGCATTAAAATAAAATAGAGACTTCATGTTTTCATATCCTATTAAAAAATTTCTCCTAAACGTCCAGGTCTCGGAGAACTGACTTTATGAAATATCAATGTTCTTGAAAGTTTAGGAAAACAAGTGTAAAGGAGTACTTTCAGTTTAGAAAAATAATATGAGCGCACTCTCTGATCTAAAAAATAAAACATGTCTTTTAATCCTCAGAAACAGTTCTATCATTTACTAGTTGCATATTTTAGATCAGAGGTTGTGCTCTATATTAAATATCGAAAAATAGCTTGAAAAATTGGCCGATTTTGTAGAATTTTTAAGATATGAGGAAATTGACGCACTTCGTGACGTCATAATGCATTTACTAGGCAGAAAATTACGTCATTTTTGATAGATACGCAATCACCAAAGATCTAAGTGATATTCAATGCATTGTTAACAGAAACTATGTAGTTTCAGTTTTTCAGAAATTCACAGGGTCAAATAAAGCACAAGTGAACCTTGTTCTTTACGGAACTTCTGTGAAAAATTCAGTTTGTTCCATCCACGAAATTTATTCTAAATTTTATTTTGTGAAATTTAATTTTTGGATTAAAATTAAAAAAATAAACTTTAAAACTGAGTGATCAATTGACAATATTACAAGGTATGTTGCACTTTGTAACTAATGTGACTTGAATTATAGTCAATACTTGTAATAGTTATGTACAATGTAATAATTGGTCAAGGAATCTATAAAATTATCAATTGATTACTAATTTTCTGTATAATAAATGTACAACAGAATGAAATCGAATTATGAATATCGCTAATATGTACACATTGGTTACATTATATGTAACGTAATTGATTACATAATATCTAAAACCTTTGTGTGGTTTGAAACTGCCGCGTAATTGATTAAATTTATAAAATTATTTAAAATAAATGTAATCAGGTTCAGATCCTCAGAAAAGGGAATTCGAAGCAAAAAGGGGCAAAGTGCAGTTATACCTAAAATAAACATTGAATTGAGGTTTAGATTTTGTTCTTAAGAATGTTAAAACTAACAAAACCAGGAGGAATATAAACAAAATCACTTAAAAAAGTATTCTATATTGAAAAAATTAAATTTACAGATCAAAGACAGAAAGAAATATCCCAATCTTGTTTCAGTTTGTAATCATGCAATTTTAAAAGGGAAACAGCTAAATTTAACAACTAAAAATGAGAGGACAAGGAGAATTAGAAGAAAAATTCCATGCACATGTATTTGATTTTGTGTCTTCTAAGTTTACAGACAATCTTCCTAATAAATCTAAGGAATGTTTAAAAGTCTCAAGTGTATTTTGTCTCAAGATATGTACATGTACAAATTAATATTACAACTAAAGGGTGTTAAGAATTTTTTCTCCTAAGAATATGAAAAAAAGGCCAGGGAAATATAAGTAATATTTTAATAAAATTACAAATATGGACAAAACACACTCAGTAAAGATTCACAGGGAAAAACAAATTTCAGATGATGTTACCTGGTTCTTAAGGTGTAAAGGAAACTTTAGAAAAATATACCAAGCCAGGTGAATTTCATGATCAAGAAAAAATGACAAAAAATCAGCAATACATGTCACATAGGCTGATTTTTACCATTTTTGCTTGTCTTAACAAAATTAACCTGGCCTGGTATATTTTTCCAAAGTTTATATTACACTTTTAGCACAAAGGTAACATATTCTGAAATTTGTTTTCACCTGTTAGTTTTTACTGAGTGTAATTTTTTTTATTTTTGATTTTTATTGAAATATTTTCAAAAGTCTATTTCATTTCCCAGTTCTTAGGAGAAAAAATTCTAAGAATTATCCATTTTTCTAAACCAGTGACATGATTTTAAGTCTCCTCCTGAGATAAAAATATGTTCTATCATCTGTCTTTTAAGTTAAATAATTCTGCGTACATAATAGAGCTAATTTTACTTGTATTTTGACGGCTTGCACGGCCATCGTAAGAGGGAGATTATGTAGAAAACATTTAAGGATGGAATTTACTCAGGTTTCAGAAAACAGAGAGGATCTTTTATAAAGTATAATATGCTAAATCAAAAATTGTTCTAAATGGATAAAAAAAATACAAATTCTTCAATCAATATCAATTTAAAAATTTAATATTCTATTAATTAAAGAAAATATAAAGGAACAAAAGTCAATGTATGGTAATTTTTAATATTTCATTTTTGTCAATCTTTTTACTCCTTGCAATATTATTCACAAAGTAAAGATTACACGTATTTTAAACATAATTTTGCAAATATGATGTGTTAAAGCTCTTACATTATTTCAAATAATTGAATGCTGTGAAATTAAAAAGTTAAAAAAAAATACGTTCAAAAACCATTCAATGTCTCAAACATGTCTCAATAATTTGATCATTGACCCCATATAATATTAATACCATGAAAATAAGGGCAACAAAAGTAACCTGAGGCTATAAATAATTTAAGAGTTCTTATCAGTAAGATTTTTGTAATATTCGATTAAAAATGGGTAAACAAATAAATCTGAAAGAGGAAATTCGAACTGTTATAATTATCATATTTATGGCGCAAACTCTAATCATCTCTTTGTACACAGCAACGCTGTCCCATTCCTTTAATATTTCATTATTTATCAATATTTATGAGTTTTATTGTTTGTTATATTTTGTGAGTGAAAAAAAAATGGTCATAGTGTGAAACAATTTTTGAGAAATAATCAGTATTAGTAATATGGTAACTATGAAAAATTTTAATCATCATAGTGATTGCTATGAAAATTGTGATTTATTATGGTAAAAAGTTTTATACTCAATAGTGATAACTCTGAAAACTTTTATTTACTACAGTGAAAACAATGACGCTAAAATTTTCACTTAAAAAACTTTAATTTACTATAGCGATCATTAATGATTAAGTATATACTACAATAAACTATATTTACTAAAAGCATTTTTATTAAGGGTTGCTACAAGCGTAGGTCAGTGTAAAAATATATTAAAAGTAGATAAGTAATTATTTTGTCATCCCCATCTTTCAGATTTGCTCAAACTCTTTAAGGTAAGTACATATCTCATAGATAAAACATTTGTATTATGATACATAAAACTTATACTAGAACTTTACGCACACGCAACTTCTTCCTCACACACAGACACACACACCCTCACACACCCTAAGGCCCTCACACACATTAGAAATCAGATTTTTTTTGTTGTTTGCCATCATTTAAGCTAAAATGCAAATGCAACTGGGTGACAAAAATGTACCATTTTGTTTCATCATCTTTGTTCAACATATTCACAAGCGGCATCCAGGATATTTTTTATTACTTTTAGAGCCAGTATGTCGTGTGGAATCCTCTGAACAGACTCTTGAACGTAGTTTGAAATTGGAAATACCTGATTGGGCTGCATATTAAATGCTTTGGTGGCCATATCACCCCTTTCTTCTGCTTGTCTGCTTTTAAAAATCCAACGCAAATCTGGTTTGCACAAGTGAAGACGATCCATTTTTGTTAAAATCAGCCTTTGTGGGATTCCTACAATGATACATTGAAAAGATATCATGAAGAAAAGCAACGAATCCCAATGCAATACATGCAATATTATTATCAATATTCGATATAAAAAAATATTTTTAATAACAACAATCTGAATGTACAACATATGTATACATGCAACAAATACTGTTAAAGAATTAAAATCGAATGCTTTCAAACCACGCAGTACAGTTAAGATTACCGTAACAAATTGAAATATCGGTGATGTTTTAATACTGTAAAGCAAGACAATTTGGCGCATGCGTATTTTAGCGCAAACGCAAGTGGGAATGCATTTTAGCGCTAGCACTTGTCATTAAAATAAATTAAAGTGAATTTTTTTTTTTACTTTTTATCCACTTTTATCCACTTTTTATCCACTTTTTATCCATAATTATTTGACTTTTTGTTTAGTCAAGTACGAGAATTCCCACAGCATTCGGCAACTTTACAGTGGTGTTGGAATGACATGGACGTCGTTACACAATCTCGATGTTTTTTTCTTTTTTTTTTAATGCGCCCGAATTTTTTCGGGGCCATATTGTTTTTGTCCTGTCTGTTTGTCTGTTTTTCTGTTTTTCTGTTTATCTGTTTGTCTGTTGTCAACTTTAACCTTCGCCAAAACTTTTGAACCGTAAGAGATAGAGACTTCATATTTGGTATGCATACTCCTCTAATAAAGTTCTTTCAAATGACACCAAGGTCAATGAACTTATGACCTTTATTGTGACCTATATACTAAAAATAGCTTTTTCAAACTTTTGCCATAATTTTGAACCATAAGAGATAGAGACTTCATATTTGGTATGCATACACCACTAATAAGGTTCCTTCAAATGACATCAAGGTCAATGACCTTGTGACCTTGACTGTGACCTTTATGCTAAAAATAGCTTTTTCCACTTTTTGCCATAACTTTTGAACCATAGGAGATAGGGACTTCATATTTAGTATGCATACCCCACTAATTAAGTTCTTACAAACAACACCAAGGTCAATGACCTTGACTGTGACCTATATACAAAAAATAGCTTTTTAGAACTTTGTTGACGCCGGGCGCATAGTGTTTCACAAACACATCTTGTTTTTTAATAAAAGAAAACGTGGAGTATTTATGCATTTCATTCATATTAAAACAATGGATGCATCGAAAGAAAGTAACTTTTATAAACGATAATCATAATCAGGTATCGTCTGCAAGCTCGATCACCATGCTCGTTAACCTCGAGCCAAAAGATGACTTACATGGCAAGAAGCCAAACTTTGGAGGTGCAAATGATAAGTATTCTGTAATAACTACAAAAGTTTGATGCGATTATAGTTTGTGAGAACTTTCTCAATCGATCCTAGTGTGTATATAAAATCCGATGAAGCTTCAACATAACATAAACATGTATACAAAATACATATAAAATAGTAAAATAGTAATCGCATTCGAGTTAACACCATGTTATATAACTGCAAACAATATTTGAGAACAAAAGACATTTTTCATTGTACAAAATGTGACTTGATCAGCCTCTTACTCTCAAACTGCGTCAACTTTTGCGAGATGACGTCACATTGACAGGTGCAATGCGATCAATGCATCGTTAATATGATGTTGTATGGGATTTCGCAAAAAACAAAACTGCATGTATTAGTAAGTTTTTGTAATCTACAGCTATCCAGTAGTTCGAATAAGCAAATGATTTCCTTTTGTGGTATATTGAAAACTTTATTTTTGAGCGACGTCATAGTAAAGATGTGTTGTACGGAATAGGCCCCACCTCTTTACTGTACCTTAACTGTGCTGCATATTTTATTAGGAATTATATGGACAGGTTTATATTAAAAAAAGCATAGAATAGGGTGTTCCTGGTTAAAAACTTTTTTTGATAAAGATAGTTCATGCCATGTTTATGGTCCCTGCTCATCTTTAAAGTCACTTTGATCTGTGATATATTATTGATTGTTTTCAGAATCATTTGATCGTTGTTGAGCCCCCCCCCCCCCTTAGTTTTATACAATAAAATGTAAAGATAAAAAGAGTGATCAAAAATCTATCGAAACTTCTGGATTAGGTGCCTTGGACTAAACAACCACTGTACTGTCACGCCTACCGCTAGTATTGCATCGATACTCTGGTCTTAATTGATAAAGCACCTGTGGACATAATAGCAGGTTACATTTTCTATGAAGGGCAATATATATTAAGAAAGAAAATGAGGCGATTAATATAAGTAATACTTTATAAATCATAAAAGAGTCTAATCTTGTGTTCCACAACACTACATGTTGAAGACTACCTCTTGTATTTCCCATAAATATACATCGACTATTGCTTCAGGACTGTTTAATTACAAGAAAACATTACTGAACATAGATTCAGAATATCTGCTGAAACATTATCCTCTTTCCTCTCCAGGTACTCCCTTGCCTTATAAATAGTCCAGCTGGACTCGTTATTTCTGGTTAAGTAACATTATAGTTAATAATGAGGACCTCAAATCATGAAATTTAAAAGGGCCCATATTTATTTAACCCCGATCATTTAACTAGCGTCTTAAATACATAATTGGCCTCTGTAGAAGATCTTACCAGGCGATGAGTCAAACCGGAACAAGAAAATCTTGACATGTTTTTAGAATGAATAAAATTGATCAGATGCATAAAAAATGCATAACATTGATCAGATTCATGTAAAAATCTCGTATTTAGTGATTGAGGGTAGTAGACGTATTCTTCCATGTTTAATTATTTAGAAGTGAAAAAAGAATTATATATATATTATGCACTCGCTATGCACTGGTCCCTGCTGACAAAGCAGGTAACAACATTGACTTTCTTTGTTAGGCTCATTATTAGTCCCCTACCAGTGAAACTGTAGGAGACTATGGGTTTCTTCTAAATCTGTATGTCTATCTGTTCATCTAGCAGGCCCTCCCTCTGTCTGTCTGTCAGTCTGTTTCATTTGGTTTTTTCGCATTTTCTTTTTAAACTCTTGCAGATGACAGGCTGATTAACCGCACTTTTACGAATCTTGATAAGTTAAATATCAAATCAAAATTCCGTTTCGCTTCAATGATTTTAAAGGAAATATGGCCTTATATTTTTTAAATGGTTTTTATACTTTATTTCCTAACAGTTTACAGATACTGTAAACCAAGTGTTATTCAGGAGCGAGAAATATCCGCGAGTTTCGCTACCTTTTCTAACTCAGAAATATTAATCATCGCGAACCCTTCATTTTCCTTAAGTATTTGTAGATATAGCGTTTCCTCAGCCGCAAAAATTAATCGTCGCGGATTGCTTTCAACTTGACGTTTCGTGAATAAAAGATGACGCAAATAAAAGTTTGTTAACTGTATTGAGCTGATTTTTGGCTTGTGAATGTATCTTGATAAGTTACAGATTAATTATGTTGAATTTTACTCCTGATCAGTTATTGTTTAAGGGAATACGACCTTTTTGATCTTTATTGGGAGCCAGATTACACTTTACGGCCGGGAACTGGTATTGATAATGAGAAACTCTCAGAATACTTGATTTAATTGTATTTTTTTTAGAGGAAATTGGATTTAAGTCAACCACTGGTAGTCAACCTTGTACTCCTAGCCCTCTTTATGAGAAGAAAATTCTTCTAAATCATATGCCAGTTTTGAATATTTTGAATATTTTGATAGGCCAATCTATCAAGATGAATTTGAAGTACAATATTTATTCTGGATTCCGAAACTTTATAAAAATCTTTACGAACAATAAAACATAGCGTGTTCAAGTAAATCCTCTACCAAGCCATTTTTTACTCCTCACTGGAACATCACCATTAGCAAATGTAAACCTATAGGGGTTGAGGCAAAGATTTTTAGTAGTAAATTAAACGTCATCAATGGTTTGCAATGCACTTATTATAGAGTGCATTGACCTCTAATTCAAGAAGGATATGGAAGTGTAAGACTTTTCCGTAAAAATAGCAAAACTGTTAATCGGATTAAGGACTGTTACCTACTGGATGTTTATCTATCTTCGGACATCGATACAATAACACTAATTGAACATTATTTAAAATTATGTTAATATTATACTAACGTTTGCCTAATACACTGATTACCACTTTACAAAAACTTTATGTTTAGACTACATTTTTTTAATTCCAGGAGTTAGACCCAATTTATCGAATAACTTGTTTACTTTAAAAATCAAGACTTGTTTATTGTATATGCAAATTTTTATATTTGAGAATTTATATAAATCAGAACCTCTAGAAAATTTGATGTCACAAACTTTTACCAAAATATTCAACAACACAAAAACTTACGACTATTTTTCTGTATACATAACCATTCCCCAAAATAAATTAAGGTCTTTTCGATATCAAATACAGTTCTTTTTCCAAAAAAGATGAAAATCGTAAATTTACTTTCCTTGTCATTGGTCAATTGTAATTTGTTTTGTAAGAAAATAACAAAACATGCTGAAAGTTCACACAAGTACTCTCCAATTGATATTAAAATTTTTTTTGAGTTCTTGTGGTTTTGAATACAAGTATGAGGCCTTCCAACAATCTATTTGAATTCTCGCAGACCTTTTTTGTATTCATATGAAGCAGAATTTCCTAAAATATTTTACGTGAAAAGAAGATGAAAAGAACACTTGAATCACCCTCATCTCGACATTTAAATATATCTACGATGTATTATCGATTACTGTTGGTTTCCATTCTTCTGTAGTTAATATATGTCCCGGAGAGCTTGAAATAAAAGACAACATAAAGTCTGACACATATGTTTTGCATTTGAATATATTATGTTAATGGTAATTATATTTAACCACCACGCTTTACGATTACTTTGATTACTTTGACTTTCAAAGGAAAGAACAAGGCCTTTTAGCTAAAACTGAAAGTCGGCATTCAGTGACTTTTTAGTGGTCATTCAGTCACTTATATTAATGGCTGATTAACTTCAGTGATCTTTCAGCTGAATTTCAGGTACCTCTCAGGAAATTTTAAGCGGGCACATAAGTCATCTTTCAATGACCTTTCCTACATCTTTCAGTGACCTTTCCGTCACTTTAAGTGACATTGTAGTCTCAATTCAGCGATTTTTTTACAGGCTTATTCGTTTTTAATCAGCCTGTGAAAAAAATCGCCGAGTTGAGACTACAATGTACTGTTCAATATTTTGAATACATTTCTAATCCAATCTTAACTGTGTTTTTTACTTGTCGAGATATATAATTCAGGCACCCCAAACCGGTAATCACGGTTAGATGTTCATTAAATTTTCTTTAAAAGTGTTTACTAAATGGTTAAACTGTGATTATAGACTAAAGAAAGATGTCTAGATAATTATTTTATTTTTTGAAATAAATTATATTAATTTAATTGATTTTTAATTTTCTAATTAGATTCAGAAAACAAAATATTCTTCAATTATAAAAAATGATAATGATCCGATACTCAAATCAAAATTTGATTAAATGTAGTATAATTTTGTCTTTTTTATTTCTGTCAACCTCTAAATTGGTGATAAATATTTATATTACTGAGCTATATTTAAGCATACAGTCAATCAAAAAAGAATCGAGGATATCGGTCACCACATTCTTAATATAAACAAAAAAAAAAAAAAAAAAAAAATAGTATCTTACTTTATTAAATCTATGATATATATTTCATTATTCTCATATCAACATATTCTTTACTTATAATTTTTTTTATGGGAATATGAAGTGTTGAACGATGAGATAGAATTACTTTTATTCATACCATTTGTAGAAAATGTTTAATATTAGAAATACTGTTTCTTAATTGTCAAAAGAGCTGGATATTTTAGCTTTTGAAAGACATCATCTTAAAATAGTTTCAAATGAAAAGAATAAATTATTTAGGTATACCTCTTGTAGAAGAAACTTCATATTGTAGATTTTAGCTTTTTAAAAATCTGTTTAGTAATTTTCTAGATAGAGAATTTACAACGATCTCAGAGAAGATTTTTAGAACAAGCGCCTATTGCTGATAATTGGCATCATCCTGATAAGCGTTGTGTAATTAATCCGTCTGTCTCCAATATCTGCACGCCTAATATTGAATATACAAAATATGTACAAGATGTATACAAATCGCAGACTGAGACTTCCGGTTTAGTTTTTGAGAGAGTGAGCACGATGAAATTTCTCTTGCGGAAAATTACCTTTAGTGTTATCTGTATGTAGTAAATCCCTGCCATTCCAAGGTGGAGTGTATATATGCTCATGTTTAGTTTCTTCATGTATATACTTTGCAATTTCATTAATTGTTTTAACAATTTGAATTAACAAGTAAAGGATGGCCGCCGCATCCAGTGATTGGCCATATCTAACAATAAACTAATGTGGATCTAACAATATCTCTGTATCAAGAAAGTACATTTGTGAACATTTTTGGATTGTAAATGTCAAGGATAATTCGCAAATCAGATCAAATACGTTATCATAAAACAAGGTATGGTTTCTATTCAAATCTTGCCCTGTTAAAAAAAATGAAACTGGTGTAAAAGATGAATAATAATGCTCTCTGAATAAATGAAATTCTATGCAGTAAAATCATACAAATCATTTTTCTCACATTTGTTTTAAATGCTAATTGTGACGTCATAAACAGGTGCATTTTCCCGTATTTTCTTCAAAAGTTACAGAAAACAACTATTTTCAATGGAATTTTCGTTCAGAAAACGTTGTCCACGGGCATCGTCCACAAATATTTTTATATATATGTGATTTATTATTGTTTTTTCACAACATATCGAAAAATGAAAGTGGGTGACGGCTGTGGACAACGTTTTCTAAAGGAAAATTATCCTTGAAATTGGCTAATTTGAGGCTTTTTCTGTTAAAACTACAGAAATGCATCACATTAATGACATCATAATGACATATTTCCAGAATGGTAATCCTTTGTGCCATATTCTTTCCTGATTTATCACAGTCATATACTTGACTTATATCTTAGACAGTTTCAAGACTTTTTGAAGGCTTTACATTTTTAGGGCACAATAAAGCTAAAACTATACCTTTTTCTTTGTACATGACAATTGTGGAATATTGGAACTTGTTTGTTTCTTTACCCAAATCTGGAAATCGCTACAAAATCACAATAGATGGGTATGTGCCAACACAGTACCTCCTTTAAGGTGTCAAGGTGGGCGACAAACATTTGAATATTATTAGTTTGTTCAAAGTTTATTCTTGGTCAGTTTCATGCACATTTCAGCATTTATTGATGATGAAGAAATCGAACAAACATTGAAGTAAATGGACATTAATGAAATGTTATAATCAATTTATCGTATATATTTTCCAGGTAAAACAATAGCAAACTGAACATGTTATAAACGAATTAAATTGCCGCCACATATGACCTCATGGTCTCAAATAAGGCCCTTGAATGACCTTCTCGTCCGAAAATAAATTTCTATCTGCGTATCTTTTTTGTCCAGGTATGAAATTCTTGATAACCAATCTGTGAGGTTGCCCATTTATAAATCAAATTACGATCAATTAATGACTCTCGTATTGCCTAGTAATCATCCTTTTCCTTAATGTCCAGACCAAATCCATTTAACTTCCAGTTGACCTAGTTTTTCAATTTTCGCAATTTTTCAACTTAAAATATATGCTGCTAACGTAGTGACATGGCTATCTATTGTAAACATTTTATGTTTGTTAATCTATTTGCGACAAGTCTTCATGAGTGGAATTCATAACCTTTTTATTGTTTTTAATTTTATTTTTTACATATTTCTCTAAAGGAACCTCCTACAATCGGATATTTTAAGGAAGTATAAAAATCATATAAACCGTGCGATTATTCAATAAAAAAAAGATTTGACTGAATGATAACTGAAACGTCACTGAGATGTATCTGTCATTAAGTCGACTAAATGGTAACTGAATGATCACTGAAAATTCACTAGAAAGAATATCTTTGACAGTGACCTTTCAGTGACTATTCCGTGGGTATTCAGTTGCCATTTTGTCGATTGAATGGTGCAATTTTATCCTGTGTTTTTATCAACTTCCTTTTCTTACGTGGCAATTTATCTTCATCACCTGCATACGGAAGTTTTATATCTCAGTTGATTTGATATGCAAGAGCATGCTCTGTATAAGAACAATTTCTAAAACGAGGTAAGCTATTGACAAAAAAGCTTATGAAACAAGAAAATCAATACTCTCGTTTAGAGTCATAATTTCGTAAGTGAATCGGACATATCAGCAAATCTAATCTATCAATAAGATAAATGTTTACTTATTTTTTTCATACTTACTGCTAGGTCTTTATAGACACACTGAATTGTTGACTGATTTTCCAGTTTTTTTTCCGCTCACGACAAAGGACAATGCTGGTATGATCGGTTAGCAGTTGGTGCCTACTACTACATGACACCTTATCTCACATTCGATATTTTTGAGGTCTGTGTTTGCTCTACTTAAATTATCTATTGTTAAAAGAACTTTTGAGGTTGAATAAAAGTCAATATCTCCATACACTTCATGAAGATATGTCACCCCAGAGGAAGAGGATTATGATGATTAGGGCTCAACGAAGTGTTAAGTTTTGTTATCAACAATAAATAATACATGTACAAGGTATGTTGTCAGTACTAATACTAGAACATAAACATTTTATACACATGTTTCGGTGATTTTTTTTCCCAAAGTCATCCAATATGAGCAAGACATTACAGGTGCAATGGAATACCATCCTTCGATATAAAATATATATTTGAAAGGATGCAGTGTTGTGCTGGACTTTGGAATCTTTGTTTTCAAGAATTACAGAGGAAAGCCTGATAAGCATAAATCACGCTTACACAGCAGATGTTTAGGATGTAACGGACCGACAAGTCTTAATAACTTTAAGCGTCCTTCAATTATCATTCTGGGAGTTGAATTTTCCTAAATAGTTATTTATGATATAGTACATATCTGAACTATAATTTGTACATTATATATTATATACATTTCGTAAAAAGACGGTTGATAGAACTAAATATCCTATTCCATTAAAGCCAGTTTAATTGGAATGTTAGTCTTGTGTCTAAGACATCACACGTACCTTTTTCTATGAGAAACTGTCTTAGATCACGAAAAATTGCTATGTCTGCATTTTCAATTTCTTTGAACTTCTCAGCGTCAGCTACGAAAAGGACGCCGTGCATTTCATCCTCCAGGACTGGATTTTGTCTATATGATTCGTCGTTTTCGTCGATTTCGTTTTCTGGATTATACTGAAATAAGTTTATTACAAATTAATACACCTTTTTTCGACTTGATTGTCGGATATTGTCGAAAGTTTTTGTTTAAGTTCTTCACAAATAAGAAAATAAAACAGTGAAAAAGAATAAATTAATAATCATTGATAAATTATTTCAGACCCTGTAGTCATTTCTGACAAAACCATTTATTGTTTTTTCCAAGTCATGAGATTGAATGCCCCTGTCAGCACGAATTCCTCGGCAATCATAAATGCGAAGTCTTTTCCCGTCTTGAAATTCTTTTAAGACTACTTCATGGAGCTTTTGAAAAAGAATGCTACAATTTAATGTTGTTTATGCAAGGAAATGATAAAATGATTGAGAGAAGAAAAAAATAAAACAGAAAAAATTGAATAGATAAAAAGTAATTTTGGAACCCTTCTAATCATCGCTAAGAAAAAGACCTTCAAATTCATCGTTTACTATACATATTTTTTTCTTTGTACCAAATAGACTTTTGAATATATACTGAAAGGAAAAAGAAAAGCTTAAGAACATAATATGGGAAAATTTTTTGACTATGTGGCCGAAAAAAATGAAAATTGGTCATATGTGTATTTTGGTTACTTTGCACTAAAATCGCTAGTCAAAACTACTCAACCATCAAATGTATGGCGTCACGTAGGGGAAATGATTAAAAGTCAAAAACACGTGCATGTTGATGATGATAATTTTGTGATAAAATTTTTTAGTGCCATAGGATGCATTACAGTTATCGAAATCGTTTTTGCATATTTGCAGTCAGTATAAATTTCTTGCAATCGTGGTATGGCTGACGAAAGCTACAGTGGGTTTAGTAATTGAATTCAATATTGCATAAGTGAATAAAAAGGCAAAAAATGTGCTGCTTTACAGATTGTTTTCAACTTTTTAACCAAATAAAAGTTATTTTGGTTGTCAGAGAGTTAACTTTTAAAAAATGTTTCCAGCCAACCATGACGGCGACGTTGGCACGTAACAACGTCACAACAAGGGCTTTTCACCATGCCACCTCGGTTATTGTCAAGGCATTATCACTGAAACTGATATTTATACAGCAGACAATCATACTCATTTTTTTCATCCTAAATTGACAGAAACTCTCTTCTCTAATTTGGGCCGCGAGCTTGGGCACTTTACATCGATTTTACTCTCAAACGCACACGTACGCGTCGTTTGCGTGATTTTTTTTTGCATGTTTACACTTAAAAAATTTAGCTAGTGTTTGTCAATACTATTTTCTTTTTTACAAATATCCACGTGTACCAAACCTGCTGGCTTCTGTACATTTTATCCTAAATAGAAAATTCGTATTCGATTGGGCGGGGAGATGTGTTAGCTTCGCCATAATACAGGTTATCTCAGACACTAAGACTACTGTCGGAAGGGTTGAATAATAATGTTCTGAAAAAGATAACTGTTCTAGTGAACTCAATGCACAGGAAAATCAAGCTCATCACTGATGCGAAAGGGAGATTATGAGAATTTTTAGTTTTATCTTTGGGGGGTGTCGACATATTGATATCAATATCTCAGAAATTATCACTCAAAGTCAGACAAAATTTCTGTAACTTGTTGATTAAAGATGGATTAAAATGTATGATAACAATGGTGGAAAACATATTTGAAATAATTGTTTTAATTAACTCAAAAGTTTAATATGAGTTTCTTAATCCTTTCAGTATATGTAGAGTATTGAGAGTGAACATGTACTTGTATGTTAGATCGAGGAAGTCACGCCTTTACAAAATTTAATGAAATTGGCGTTAGAAGATTGCCAAACCAACTGGCTATCCGTGTGTTTGATTGTTTGTTGTTTAACATTACTTTCGAGGTTTTTTTTACACAAACAAGGGGTGATCAAAAAGTTCCTGAACTAATTGAATGACTTCCATAAAAGAAACAATATTTGGTTTCAGTGTTGATTATATTTTAAATAAGTTCTCTCTGATTTTAATGCACGTCTGTCATCATTCTGCTCATGCGAGAATCATGTGATATAGGCGGTCACGTGACCTCTTTCGAAGCGTTCTGTCATAAAAGCTGAAAGATTTTCCTAAGTTTCATATTTCTTTCCATGTGAGTTAATCTTTATAACAAGAATTGTTCATTTCAATTCTCGGCAACAGAATGTGTGGATAAGAATATCCTTTCCAAAAATAAGCATGACGACCATTAAAACACAATCCTTCTGTCTCAGGAGAGACGTTTATTCGAGGTGTATAGATAATGAGTGCCTCCTTTTTATCAAATCTATTATGTTTAAAATCTAAAATAAACAATATATTCGGAATTTAATAATTATACTTTTGTTGAAATGTAATATATTAAACAATTTTTTCAAAGTCTTTGATAGCAAATTGCTTAATAAAAAAAACATATCTTTTCAAAATTGCTTTCAGTGAGAAAACCATTTTACGTCTCAAGTGCCTATATAGTGACGTCATTTTCACATTGTGACCTCAAAAACAAGGAGCAAAACTTTATTCAGCATACACTGTTTACAGAACTAAATTATGATTACATATTATTCAATTTTTTAAATTGGAATTGTGGTTTTGTAGGTAGAGAGATAAATCGCAAACATTTAATCACCCGTCGTATGTGTACGTCACCATTTAATTGTTTCTGCTATGACAGAATTGTGCATTTAGACTTATAAGAGAGAGAGAGAGAGAGAGAGAGAGAGAGAGAGAGAGAGAGAGAGAGAGAGAGAGAGTTACAAAATGTCCATTTGTTCGACTGAGTTTTCTTCCTTTTCACCATTTTATATGTAAATAAGATGTAGTGTTTGGTAAAACTGATTGGTATGTGAGTGTGATATGCAGATTTTGACTTTTTTCTCGTCGCTTCGGGCGGCAATTGCGCAGTTGGGGATCTTTTCCCCTTGCCTGTTTCATTTCGTAGTCCTTTTTTCTAGCTTAAAATTAATGTCCATTGCCCTTCTATACACACTTAGATAATAAAGAAAATCATTTATTGAAATTTATTATTATACTTTTATTTGGAAATGATATTTCTAATACTCTTATTGCATTTCCATCAAGGATACAAGCAGTGAATATGCATAGTTAGGCAATTGTTTTTCCTTTCGGTAAAAATAGCTTTTGGAATAAATTTAACTTTTCCTCACCCCAAGTTTCACATCATCCTTCTTTAAATCGTTTATACCATAAGATTGATCTTGATACTTTTGACCAATCCCCGCATTCATCTAGCAATGATTTTGTTTCGAAAGGGGTCTTTCCTGCTACCATACGAAATTTTATCACTGCGCGCTGCTCTGTGACATCAAAGTCTGACGCCGTTTTCAACCGTGAATTGAGACTGTCCCCTTTCATTATAAATTGATACGTTGAGAAGCACTTGCTCAAAATAACTGAAACTTCTCCAATATGACGATTGCCTTTCATTGTGACATAATATTTAATATCGAGGATTTTCGAGCTCAAAATTAAAAAAAATTCTGTAATGCTAATATCGACTTAAAATATTCAAATTCACAGAAAACGATTATGCTCCACGAGCCATTGCTAAGGAAATTAGAACGGCTGTAAAAAAAAATTTTTAATGGACCAAAAAAATGAAAAGTTGTATTTTAACTGGAAACATGGTATTAAAAAGGTTTGGAAAGTTTCACTTCAAACATACAAATACAGCGGTCAGTACCGAAACCGTCCACGAACTTTTCGAACAACCCTCGTATTAGTACGGAGTACAAATTGAATTTCGGTTCTATGCTCTCGGGAATATACACATTTTATGGATCATATTTTTTTAAGGAAAAACTACTTAAAAGAGTTTTTTTTTAAATATAAAAATAAATTTATAACTTGTTGTTACCAATTATTTACAATTATTTCATAGACAATTCACACAAAAGCTTTCTTTTTTTAAAAGCAGCTATAACCAACTTTTTTTTTAAAAGATCAACAAGTCGTAAAAAGACATACACCATTTTCGAATTTTCATTTACTATTTACGACGGGGTAGATCCTTTATTCCGTAATTACGGTTTATAAACCCGACTGCTTTATTGTTAACACATTCCATACTAGTGGATTGATTGATAGGTACATGAAATTGTCAAAAAATTAAAACTTATGCATACCTTTAATTAAATCATTACAAACCAGAATAATTTCTAATTGACTTGTAAGATGTGTTTTAAATAAGGTAACATCAGTTTGAAAATTGACCAACTAATGCGAATTTATGAGTTATTGTTTATAGGAAAGACATATAGACTGCTTCAGTTGGTATTACATACACAGAAGGGTTTATGACATTTTTTGTACACAACCAGAAGTCTCTGTCGAGACTGAAGCTCTTCTGGTTTGTACTTATAGCAAAGGAAGGGAAAATACTTTAAAAAGCAGTTAGGAATTAAAACTTTACAACAGTAATAAATAGAATAATGATCTTTAATTGAGCCTCTTTATGTTCAAGTAATATTTAAATCAGACCAAAACTGTAGGTGGAGTAGCATTTTGAAAGAATTTCACAGAAATTTCTATTTTTAGTAACCACGGCAACACCGCTCATCGAAATCAAAAACCGATACACAGAATTATGTATCTTAGTGTAGTGTACTTGTGTGCCGAGTTATATTGAAATCAGACCAAAACTGTAGAGGAGTAGCATTTTGAAAGCATTTCACAGAAATTTCTATTTTTAGTAACCACGGTAACACTGTTCATTGAAATCAAAAACCGAAAATTGGAATTATGTGTCTTAATGTAGTCTACTTGTGTGCTAAGTTATATTGAAATCAGACCAAAACTGTAGAAGGAGTAGCATTTTGAAAGAATTTCACAGAAATTTTTATTTTTAGTAAACAGGGCAACACCGTTCATCGTAATAAAAAACCGATACACAGAATTATGTATCTTAGTGTAGTCTACTTGTGTGCCAAGTTATATTGAATTCAGACCAAAACTGTAGGAGGAGTAGCATTTTGAAAAATTGTTTACAAACAGACAGACGGACGGACGCCGGACGCATAACTATCGCATAAGCTCTTCTGGTCTCTGACCAGTAGAACTAAAAATGTGGACAAAAGAAGGAGAAATGTTTCATTCTTCTGAAATAACAGGATCAAATGAATGGGAAATGGACTACTGTCAAATCATTAATTTTTTTCAAGGATTGAATAAACCCTCCATTTTATGTCCACCATGAAATGCATTAATTTTGTTTTTTACATATATCATTACTGATCAATTCTTAAACTACGAAATCAAATACCCATAAACCAATTTATTTTTCTCTCACCACGAAAA